GAGGTTGCGTGTGTGTGTGTGTGTGTGTGTGTGTGTGTGTGTGTGTGTGTGTGTGTGTGTGTGTGTGGTTTGTGGTTAACAAATGGGCCATTATTTGTGCACTTCTGGGTCATCATGACATGTGGACTGTGCCCCACTAATGGACTGATGTAACTTCTCTCTTCAGAACAGACACTCAGGACAATAACAGGATTCTTTATTCCCTGCATTTATTTCTTTGATTTACTTCCAGTATTTYATCTCAAACTTTTACTGGATGTCAACAGCTATGGCTCTCAGTTACTGCATTACAAGTGTTTTATTTTATTTTATTTTTTCATTTCTGTTCTTGTGCTTCTTTTACTTCTGTTACTGACCAGAGCACTCAAAAAATCAACCAAAGAGCCACTTTATGGCTCTGGATGTGATTTATTTTAGAAGATATCTCACCTCAGATGCCCTTGGCCATAAGGATTGATGCACAAATTTAACAAAGCAGAATCATTCATATACTAAACGGAAGTGACCAAACATGATGCATGACACGCTCTTAATAAAGACGCTCATTTGTTGTCCAAATGAACAAACTATCAAATTTCTACCTAATAAAACTAATAAACTTACTGTAAAATGAGAATTTCAAATGGTTCTCTTCAAATTGAAATAGACATAAAGTCACTGAATAATAATAAAAAAATAACTAATTCATTTTGAGTGTTGCAATTTTTTAAAAGCAGGTTAATTTGAAAAGCAAAAATATTTAATTTTGTTGCAACTTTTGTCACAATCCTCGCTTCAATCTTGTTAAAGTTAATTTGTAGTTTGTGCTTTTAAAGCTGTTTGGTCTAAAACATTTATTGTAATATTGATCCAAACATCCCYGTTTTATCCTGATGTTGGGGATTAAAGCCAGTAGGACCCAGTTTACAGGAGCTGCCTTCGTTATACTTTTGGAACCAGAGTCTGAGCATTGGAGATGTGGAGCTTTAAGCCCCGCCCACCTACTGGAGTTTAAAWAGGCAACAATTCACTCTGAGCTTTGACTTCACTCAGATTAGCGGTTAGCTTGTCGCTCTGATCAGAAATAAACATTAACTGTTCATAATAAAGTTCACTTTAAACAAAATGTGAGGCAGATAAAATCTAAATAATGTTCTAATTTGACCCCGACCAGACTTTTGACATGACTGCCTCATGCTAACATGTCTCATTTTGAGCATAAAAACTTCTTTGATGTGGAATTTTAACATGCTCACAAGATTTAAAACACTGAGCAAAAAGTTGAAAACAGAAAAAATGTGCTAGGTGTATAGCAAGATGAGTCCTAAAATATGGGCGCTAACATGTTTATTGTTTTATTTAAGCATGACTAAGAACAGGACTCGAGACCTGGTCTGGTTCAGTCCACTCGTCTAAACACATCTGAATGTCGCCGAACATCAGCTTTTCTGAAAAAAACTTTTAAAAGCTAAAAACAAGAAYATGACCAAAATAGATGCTTTAATAGTTGTCTTAATCTGGTGCATCACAAGACTTACAGTAAAAAAAAAAAAAACTTAAAGAAACATAATATTAATTTTTTTCTTTTTTTAACAAGTTATGTCTTAACAAAAAAACCTTTGAAGGTTAAGATATTGTCAACAAACGCTGCAGCRCTGCACTCAGCAGGATCGAGGTCATCTTCTTCCTTCTGGGAGGATGGCCTGACAGGGAACCACTAAGAGACAGGAAATGTCCAGAGTGTCCGTAACAAAGACATTAGACCAGGATGTGGTTTGCTGCCGTCCACCGAGATACAGAAAACCTTTAAAAAAAAAGGGCAGTTAAAATAACGGAATCCCTGTTGCAGCAAGATGCATCTGATAAGATCTAACCCATGTTATTAAGGCAGTTTCTGAATTAAACATGGATAAATGGACTGTACTTGTACAGCACTTCTCTATCCATCCAGGACAGTCAAAGTGCTTTACATTACAATCTGTGTCCTCATTTACCCATTCACACAGCATTATAGGTCTCTACAAAGCTAACATGTACAATCATCTGTGGAGACTAATCAGTGCCARTCACATCAGAGGCATTAGGGGTGAAGTGTCTTGCCCAAGGACACAACCACTGAGACAGCTGGACGGGGGATGGAACTGGCAACCTTCTAGTTCCAGGACGACTCCCCTAACCACTCTTCCACGGCCGCCCCAAGTAAACGCATCGAGTGTCCAGAAAGCAAATAGCTTCATATATTTGCCACCTTCAGTTAGAAATATTAGTAAAAAAAATTAGGAGGTGAAGTAAAAATCAAATATACAAAATTGCGGTCAAAATGCATAAATTATTTCAGAGTTCTTAGATTTTTTTTGCAATCTTCATGGTCTGTTGTGACTTTTATCAAATACTGCCATGTTCAAATCGATTTTAAGACAAGATAACTCATCTTTTGCGATGGACTCTGTTTTATTTTAATCATTTTAAGTGCAAGAGGTTAAACACRTCAGTCACTAGCTGTGCTTTTTTCCCATGTTCTTCCTCTTCAGAGCTTTAATCCAGCCACGAAGAGCGAAGCGACGAGCTCGCAGCACCTCCTCGCTCGCAACCTGCTCCTCTTCAAACTCCTGGTCTAGCAGCGAGTTCTCGTCCCCACTTGAGTCCTTCTCCGAGTCCTCCTCCGAGTCTTCCTCTGAGTCCGTAAAATCCAAGTCCACGGTGGGAGACTCTATGGCCGTCACCACGTCTGAAAAATGAACCTGGCGGTTTTCCTCCACTCGTCTCTGAAGGACAAATGAAAAAAAAAAAAAAAGGAAACGTTAAAATAATGTTTGCTAAGAGAGTTGAATTTTATGTTGTTGGACAGCTGCTGTTTTGTAAAAACTAAAAATTAGATTTTTTTTACTTACTAAATGTTTAAATATTTTTTTACAGGATAGGGTGCGAAACAAATTCTGACATTTTTTTATAATGTTCTAAGACTTTGTTTTCAGAAATTTAAGATTTTAAAATTATGAAGAAAAACTAGAATTCTGAGACTTTCCTCACAGACTTTGACTTTAAAAACATTTTATCTTTATATTTTTTGAATTCTGAGAATAAAATCAGAATTCACACTTTAAACTAAGAATTTCAGCATTTGGAAATTAAAATTTGAATTTTTACTTAATCCTTGGAGCTCTGAGACAAAAGTCTAAATTTTAAGAGTAAAATCAGAATTCTACAAAAATATATATATTTTCCCCCATTGTGGTACTAAATGTCCTCCGTAATTTTGGTCAAACTAAGTCTCCTTTTACAGTTTTGGTTAGAAAAAGGTCTATTTTTATTCTAATATTTTCCATTTTAAACAACTCAACACACTTTTAGTCTTGATTTTGTCGCYCAAACTAAACACTTTTTTCATTGAGAAACTTTTTTGCTGCTTTGTCTAAATACAATGAAAACATTTCATTTTTAAAAGGTATTTCGGATGATGAGGCTTGATAAAAGAAGAATAWGTTGTCCAGTAGTGATTAAAAAAAAGATTTGTCATTTCACACCCCAAGGTGGCGCTGTGAGGAGGAACAACTCACCCTTTTTGTCATGGTGACCTCTGAATCGTGGGATATGAAGTGTTTGAGGATGCCTCGGGGCACCGGAGCCGAAGGGTCAGAGGACGGAAACAGAGGAGGAGACTTCAGAGCGGTGAGTGGGGGGACGCCTCCCTGTCGTGGCTCTGGTGCGTCCTCCATCGCGTGGGAGGTGAACGATGCAGATACGGGGCTGGCTGTAWGGTTATAATAATAAAACATGAGTTAAAATGTTGAACCTGAAACCAGCGTCATATTTACAGTTGGTCGTTGTTCTGACCTCTTTCAGCCGGCTGATGCTGCCTCTTCCTGCTGGTCTGACCTCTGACCTTCAGCACGGCGTTGTAAAGGATGTCTGAAGGCTGCAAACACAAACCAACAACATAAACGTCTGTTTTTAATTTTCTGTTGGGGTGAGGCGGCGAGTGTTGTACCTGTGTGACGGCTGAAGGTCCAAGCGGAGGTCTGCTCTCTCTGCGCTGCGAGTCCGATCGGTTCTGACCATCTTCCATCAGCTCCACCTGATCAGCCTCTCTGTAAACYGACTCTTGTTTTCCTTCTGTGACGTCCATGCTGACGGAAGGCGGTGCTGTCTGCCCCACTCTAAATACTGAAGCCCATGAGGACTCCATAGTCCAGAATGTCCATGAGCCGCTCCTCTCTCCCGGTTGGTTCAGACTCCCAGGTGTTTGGTCAGGGTTGAAAGGATTTGGTGGGATTTTGGCTTGAGGCTCCTCTGGCGATCTCTGATTCACCGAGGTGAGGTGAAGGTTAGGGTTGAAGAACCTGGCCCACTCCTGACCCTTGGTGATCTCCTCCAGGAGRCTGAAGGACCCCAGGCCCAAGTCAAAGTCACTGCTAAGCCTGAAAGCAGGAAGAAGAARTTTGGTTTAACTTTTATGACTTTTAAACAAGAAGTTTATTGAGTCTGTTTCTTAACATCACGGAGGACAGAAATTCCATCTTCCTCCAGTTCTCTCAACAAGTTCTATATTTGTTCACGTTTAACCTATCTACTTTCCCTCTTTCCCTCCCTTCTGTCTTCTTCTCTTCAGCTCCTCCCTCCTTCAGGGGTCACCACAGTGATTGAATTTGTAAGATTTGGTAAAGGTTTTACATCGGATACTCAATCAAATCTAACCTCAAACCTACAAAAACACCAAACAGATCCCACCAGGTCACCATTCATCTTTTTATTATTAATTGAACAAAACTGAAGTCAGAATAAAAAAGATATGTGAAAAACTAAGTCCCCTCGATGACCCAGCAGCTTGCAGGGCTACCTTCAGCAACAGTAACTCCTGGACCACTTGTCTAGATCTCCACAGTCGTTTCTTTACGAACAAGTCTCTTGTGGTCCACCTCKGCCTTTTAACGCTGTCTTTTCTTCTTCAACCTTTCTGTCATAGATTTGCTGCTGTGTTTGGGATCGTTGTTCCGTTTTACGACCCAGTTCGGCCCAAGCTTTAGCTCTCAGACAGACAGCTTCACCTTTGACTCTGGATCTTGTTCAGAGGAGTTGTTCTGCTTTCACATTTTCCCTCTTAAATCTAGTGGAAGCAGAGAGKATGTATAGTTTTCCACACACAGCTTGTACATTTAGCTTCATTTTTGTTTGATAAATATTGTCACGGTGAAATCTTTTGTGCGGTTTTCRCACACTTGAGGTTAGATTTGAATTAAGTATTATTATGCCCTGATGCATAAAATAAAAACCAACATACAGTGTCTTTAAAAAAAGGTATTCTTAACCTTTGAACTTTTTCACATTTCTTTCACGTAAAATCACAGTAAAATTCTTATAAGTTTGTGGTTTTAAAGTGACAGAATGTCCGTCCATTCGTCCGTTTTCTTCTGCTTATCCGGGATCGGGTCTCAGGGGCAGCAGCCTAAGTAAAGAGACCCAGACTTCCCTCTCCCCAGCCACTTGGCCAGCTCCTCTGTGGAAATCCCAAGACGTTCCCAGGGCAGCCGAGAAACATAGTCCCTCCATCATGTCCTGGGTCTTCCTCTGGGCCTCCTCCCAGTGGGATGTGCCCGGAACACCTCAACAGGGAGGCGTCCAGGAGGCATCCTAACCAGATGCCCGAGCCATCTCACCTGGCTCCTCTCGACATGGAGGAGCAGTGGCTCTACTATGAGTCCCTMTTGGATGACTGAGCTTCTCACCCTATCTCTAAGGGASAGCCCAGACACCCTGCGGTGGAAATTCATTTCAGCCGTATGTATCCACGATCTCGTTCTTTCGGTCACTACCCAAAGCTCATGACCATAGATGAGGGTAGGAACATAAATCRACCGGTAAATCAAGAGCTTTGCCTTCTAGTTCAGCTCTTGCTTCACCACAATGGATCGGTACAACGCCCACATCACTGCAGACGCAGCACCAATCCACCCGTCGATCTCATGCTCCATTCTTTCCTCATTCGTGAACAAGATCCTGAGATACTTAAACTCCTCCACTAGGGGCAAGACCTCCTCCCCGGCCCGGAGAAGGCACCCTACCTTTTTCCAGCTCAACAGAATGTGGGAAAGCTCAATATTTTTAGGGCACTATGTTCCTCCATTTGGATGGTTCTGGTTAACTTCAAACCCAGGTCCTCAATCAGCTGTCTGGGAGTTTGAGGGTTCTGTTCGGTAGCTTAGCTGTTCCTAGCACTCTTCTGGACAGAGATCTCTGAGGTTGTTCCTTGGATCTGTTGGAGCCGCTCTTCAAATGGGGGGTCACAGCACTGAGTACTCTGATGGCTCTACTCTATTTCCTCTTTCAGCCTTTGGGATTTCTTGCTTCTCGTGCTCCTCCTTGATGTTACAGTCACCTGGGATGGCTACATCTATCACCAATTGYTCCTTCTCTTGCTTGTTGACCACTGCAGTGTTCCTTGGGTTAGCCATCACCATCGCCAACTGACCTGTATGTCAGTCTGGATCTGGATCGCAGTATCTTAGCTCTTCCTTTCTCCCTCAGTCTTGGTGGTCTCTCTCACTTTGTCTCGGGGACCTCCAGTCCATAGTGCTCCTTGTATATTTTGCCTGTCTGGATCTTACATCCTGTTATTACATGTTGGACTGTCTCAGTGGCATCTTGGGTCCTGTCTGGTATAGAAGACCCCAACCTGTATTGCTCTTGTGTTTTCACCATTAGTACCTCTGTAGCGTCCTTCAGTCCTCTCTAGTCACTGGATGGAATTGTTGATTTTTTAAACTTTTATTTTGGCTGGTGAGAAGAAGTAACTTTGATTGATATCAGTTATTTCCTTGATCTGTATGTAGGTGGTACATGCTGTGGAGGGGCTTATCTTTCCATGRTGGTTCCATAAGTTCCTCCTCTTCCACARTGAGTTTTTTCTGTCTGAGACTTTCATTAATCACATCATCATTGGCAGCTTTCTTCCTGATTCTTCCTGGATCTTAGCTGTTTCATTGTGCATAGTGGTTCGGACGCTCACTAGTCCTCTTCTTTCCTCCTGTCTCTTATAGTGTCAGGATGCTGGACTTAGGGTAAAACCCTTCATCCATTGTGAGGGGCTTCTGAGTCTTGATGTCAGTTGGTTCCATCTCCTCTGTTGATTAAACTGTACACCAGTTGGATCTTCAAGACCTGTCAATCTAATCAAGTCCTACAATCTTATATTCAGCCAAAAAGTATTTTTGATATACTAAACAAGAGAAGAAAATGTTTATTTATTAATCTTGTTAGCATGGAATTTTTCTCTTATTTCAGGAAATCTAATAAAGTGCAATTGTCTTACTGTACTGGCAGATTATTTCACTTAATTTGAGAAGACTTTACATTTATTTTAAATGTATTTTCTTTTGTATATAACTTTATTACTTTTATTCCATTACGTCCAATAAAGTAAAAGTTTCAAGCTATAACCTAGAATTATATAATCACAAGTTATCATTAAATTTGGATAAAAAAATTACATGATATTAAGTAATAGAAAGAAAACAACTGATTTTCCTTTTAGAGTGGATGGTGTTGAAATTTGCAGAGTCAATGAGGTGAAGTTTTTGGGAGTCATCATTGACAAAAAACYGACATGGAAACCTCATGAATTACTTAAGAACAAAAGTGGCAAAATCTATTGCAGTATTGTATAAAGTTAAGGAGTTATTTAATGATAAAGCACTATTTATACTATATAATACAATAATTGTTCCACATATGATTTATTGTATGGAAGTCTGGGGAAATGCATGTAAAACAATTACTAATCCTATTTTTATTTTACAAAAAAGAGCCATAAGAAGAACAAGAAAGCATTATCACCCATCTAATACATTGTTTCATCAGTTCCAATTATTACAATTTTATGAGTTGGTTGAATATCTTATTCTGCAAGCTATGTATAAAGCTCATAAAAATGTGTTACTTTCAAACATCCAATCAAATTTTGTTAAGAGGGAAAGCCGCAATAATTTGAAGGGACTACAAATGTTTATTAAACCAAATATTCGAACAAATTTGAAGGACAGATGCACTTCGGTACAATTAATTCCTTTAAAAAAATTATCAAAGCAAAATTGTTTTAAAAATATGAAATTGTTTAATTTGTATTTGTATGAGTTATTGTTTGAGGAGTTGAATTTTTGTTTTTGTTTTATTTGTTTTATTATTGTTTGAAATTAACATAATTTTTGTTGCAAATAGGAGCAGATATAAGATTTTTTTCTTCTTCTGCCGCCTTTCATTTTATTTGATTTGTATTGTTTTGTTGTATGTGATGTGT